ACCAGCCCTCCCAATTGAGTTTTGCATATGAAATTCTTCTTTTATGTGGCAAGTATATGGCAAAACATTAGGGTGAGCAAGGACAGTCCTAATTTAGTGTAAAATATAGTTCTTGCCAAAATAGAATATAACCTGGTCTCATCACTAGAGACAAGGAGACAAGGAGTCACCACATGGGAAGTGAGTCTGTGCCGATGATAATTCCCTTTCCTTCCAATAGACACCAGAGAAGCAAGCAGTGGGAGTTAAGCTCTCACATACCACAAACGCATCAGCATCCTCACTTTAGCTGTTGATGAATTATCGCAATTGCTTTGGGCTTCCCTCAACAGCATCTTGTGTAACAGGGAATATGGCAAAGAAGATAGGATCAAAATTAAGGTGAATGTTTATAATGCATGCTTACCATGAAGACACAGATTTAATAACTCCTCTTTGCACTTCAAATGCACCTGGCCTATCACTTCTGGCGCTTTCTGAATTACTTCTGGCAGTCCTCGCACAGGAGAGTTGCTAGCTATGCCGTCCATGCGACCTGTGTGTCCTGAGTTGTTTAAAAACTTCCACCATTCTAGCCATTTTGACTTTGGGGAAGCCCCTGAAGTCTCTCGGTACTGGGTCCAGCGAATAATGAGCATTAGGGCACATGACAATGTTCTTATTTGACAGAAATGTCCATGAATGTTTGATAAACAAGGAATAAAAATGCTAAGTGTTAATATAAATACCATTACCACATGAAAAGGCACAAGACATCAACCAAGCCCTAGAACTTGTCCCCTTCACTGTGAGCACTCTTGCCCCACCATTCTTAAGAATGTGTCTTTTACTATAATAAAGGGTGTTATTTTAAGTTTAACCATTCCCCTGATCTTTTGATTATGCCTGTATAATATAGTAGCTCTCTTCCCAGAGAAATTTCAGTTCACTTAGGACTATGCATGCAAGAGCTGTTTGGGTACTAACATGAATGTTTTATTTAAATGCATTACGATGTGTTGTGTACATTTAGAGTTTATCAAACTTATTTCTGTCATACAAAACAGTCAAAGTTTTTCAGGCTAAGTGGAAAAGAAAATACAAGAGAGATACTTGGAATATCTCATGCAGAGTTAAAACTTGGAAATTGGAATAAGATGAGAAAATTGTTTCAAGGTCAGTATCTTGTTGTGATATTCTGCAGTTTTGAAAAATCTTATCATGTGGGAAACTTGACAAGTTTACAAAAGATTCCTTTTATAATTTATTTTGAAATGTATGTCCATCTGCAATAAGCTCAGTTATAAAGCAGGTCGCTTAGGGCCAGACAAATAGCTCAGCGGATTAAAGTGCCTGCACAGGGGCAGGGTGTTTCTTCCCCTGGGCTTGCCCTGCCGGCCCTATTCCTGGGGTACCCTCAGATGGCAATTGAGACTGGCCATGGTGGCCCACGCCTATAATTCCAGCTCTTGGGAGGTTGCAAACAGGCAGATCACTAGGAATCCCATCTAACAGTGAGACCTGAACTCCCTGTAGACCCTTCCCTAAAATATATTTTAAAAATTAAATAAATAAAACAGGGAGCTTGCATGAAGCCATCTTTGAGACTTGCTCATTGCAAGTGCTTGAAATATGGACACAAAACATGTTCCTCCAGTATTACTGGTGAACTGAAAGTGGCGGCATGTATGTGCAATTTCAGCACTTTGGAGGCTGAGGTAGGAGGATTGCACAGGCTTGAACCCAGTGTGGGCTGCATAGTGAGTTCAAGGTCATGTTGAACTGTAGAGTGAGACCCTGTCTACAAAACAACAGCAAAGAAGAAACCCGAGGGCTGACCAGATAGCTCAGTGGATCAAAGCACCAGTTTAGGCAGAGCACAGCGGCCAGGGTTCAATCCCCAGTGTGCCATGCCAGTCCTGCCCCCCCCCCAGGCACCCTGAGATGGACTGAGACTGGGTGTGCTGGCATGCACCTGTGCTTGTGAGACTGAAAACAGGAGAATCACTCTGAGTCCAAACTATGTAGTGAGACCCTACAGACCTTGTAGGCCCTGTAGGCCCTGTCCTAAATACATTAAAAAAAAAAAACTAGAAAAATCTAATAATCCCATTGAAACATGAGTTGAAGTGGATACACAGGTCTCAGATGAAGAAGTCCAAACAGCAGCTAAATACAGGAAAGCTTGCTCAACATCATCGGCCACCTGAGACACACAGGTTACAGCAGTTACCTGAGATGCTAACTCGCTCCAGAAACAATGCTGTCATCAAGAAATACAGCAAGACCCAGTCCTAGCCCAGGTCCGGTGAGTGTGCGGAGAGTTTCCTGCTACCCTGCGCCAGCGGGACCAGTCCCAGCCCAGGCACAGCGTGGGCCGGAACCTCTCCCAGCCCCGCGGGCCGCCCCCCACCACTCTGCAGTGCCTCCCCCACCCCGCCCGCCAAGTAGGATTTTCTGCCGAGTCCTGGGAGCCCCCA